ATACGGGCACTTGCGCACGCACCATGGGAAATGCACATACAGCGATAGCGGCGGCAGTGCGGCGAGCCGGACACGCCCCGGTGCGATGAACGCGGAAACCGTGCCGCCGGATCTTGGCGCGTCGCTGTGCGCGAGTGGTGCGGGATGCCCGGGCGTAGGGCCTGCTACTGGGCGATTCACCATGGGTCCTTCAATCGATCGATCAACCGCGCCAGTGCAAGCGCGCGATGGCTGTGCGCTTTTTTCACTTCCGGCTCCAGTTCGGCGGCGCTCGCTTGCAGCGCGGGCACGTAGAACAACGGGTCGTAGCCGAAACCGTGCCCACCGCGTGCGTTGGTCAGGATGTCACCGTGCCAGCGACCGTCGGCGATCAGCGGCTCAGGATCGTCGACATGGCGCACCAACACCAGCACGCAATAGTAGTAAGCGCGCCGGTCGGCATGCGCGCGCAGCACGTCGAGCAATCGCGCGTTGTTGGCCGCATCGGATTTTTCCCCGCCGGCCAATTGCGCATAGCGAGCTGAGTAGACGCCGGGTGCACCGCCCAGCGCGAACACGCACAGCCCCGAGTCATCAGCGAGCGCGGGCAAGCCGGTTACGCGCGCGGCATGGCGCGCTTTCTGCAGCGCGTTCTCGACGAACGTCGGATGGGGCTCGGGCGCTTCGCTCACCCGCAACGCGTGTTGCGGCACGAGATCGATGCCGAGCGCGTTCAGCGCGGAAAATTCACGCAGCTTGCCGGGATTATTCGACGCCAGCACGATGCGCGATAGCGGATGTCCAGGGTCGCCGCTCATTGTTGCAGCGCCTTCTTTTGCCCCTCGATCAGCTTCGTGATGCCGGACTGCGCGAGATCGAGCAACGCATTCATCTCGTCGCGGCTGAACGGCTCACCCTCGGCGGTGCCCTGCACCTCGACGAAGCGGCCGGTGCTGGTCATCACCACGTTCATGTCGGTATCGCAACGCGAGTCCTCCGCGTAGTCCAGATCGAGCACTGGGGTCGCGTCGTGGATGCCGACAGAGACCGCTGCGACGTGGTCAATGATTGGCGTATCGGCGAGCCGTCCGTCCGCGAGCAGCCTGCCCACTGCATCATGCGCGGCGATGAACGCGCCGGTGATGCTCGCGCAACGCGTGCCGCCGTCGGCCTGGATCACGTCGCAGTCGATATGCAGCGTGCGCGGGCCCAGTTTTTCCAGGTCGAACACCGCGCGCAGCGCGCGGCCGACGAGCCGCTGGATTTCCTGCGTGCGGCCGGTCTGCTTGCCGCGCGCGGCCTCACGGTCGCTGCGCGTGTGTGTCGCGCGCGGCAGCATGCCATATTCGGCGGTGAGCCATCCGCGGCCACGGTCACGCAGGAACTCCGGTACTTTCTCCAGCACGCTGGCGGTACAGATGATTTTCGTGTTGCCGCATTCGATCAGCACGGAGCCTTCGGCATGCTTCGTATAGTGGCGCGTAATGCGCACGTCTCGCAGCGCATCGGCAGCGCGGCCGCTGGGCCGCGGAGTGGGGACTTTCATATCGGAGCAGTCGGAAAATGGATGCGGATGGCGGTCGGCCATGCCGACCCGAAACCCGCATCTTAGCGCTAAACGCAGAATCGCCTTTCGCACCTCGCACACATTGGGCCGATGCTATACAGCATCCGCAACGGGGGCGTGGGCGCGTTAAGTGCGATAATTCGCGTTTTACCGGAACTTTTCTCGAGACGCCTAATGATCTACAGCATGACGGGCTATGCGAGCGTGACGCGGGAGGGGGTTGTCGACAGCGCATCCGAAGTCGGCGGCAGCACCCATACTGCCAGCGTATCGGTCGAGTTGCGCACCGTGAACTCGCGGTTTCTCGACCTCAATTTCCGCATGCCTGAAGAGGTACGTGCGTGTGAGCCGACGTTGCGCGAAATGCTGATGGCCCGGCTCTCGAGAGGCAAAGTGGATATCCGCATCAATGTGCAGCGCAGTGAGCAGGTCGCGCAGGCCGGTTCGCTCAATCGAGATGCGCTGCTGCGGCTCGCGGTGCTCGAGCGCTCGGTGCTCGATGTGTTTTCCGATGCGGGCAGCCTGCGCACGGGCGAGATCCTGCGCTGGCCCGGCATAATTGCCGACAGCGGCTTGTCGGCCGAGTTGCTGCGTGACGCGGTGCTGGCGTGCGGCAAGCAGGCCATCGACGAGCTGGTCAACGTGCGCGGGCGCGAGGGCGCGCAGCTCGCCACGATGCTGCTGGGCAACGTGGCCGAGATGGAGGCGATCGTCGTGCGGATCACGCCGTTGGTGCCCGAGCTGATCGCGCGTCACCAGCAAAAGATCGTCGAGCGGTTGCAGGAAGCGCTCGGCATTGCGGCGCTGGAAGGCTCGCCGCAACGGGTCTCGCGCGAGGAGATCGCGGAGCGGATCCGCCAGGAAGTGACGATGTACGGCGTGCGCATCGACATTGCCGAAGAGCTGTCCCGCCTGGGCGCGCACCTGGGCGAGACCCGCCATGTGATCGAAAAGGGCGGCCGCGTCGGCAAGCGGCTCGATTTCATGATGCAGGAGCTGAACCGCGAAGCGAACACGCTGGGCTCGAAGGCGGCGGCAAAGGAGTTGGCCGACGCGTCGATGGCGCTGAAGCTGCTGATCGAGCAGATGCGTGAACAGGTTCAGAATCTGGAGTAGTGCAAGACGATGACAAGCAACCGCAATCCGTACGCCGGTGAATATCCGGGTAACTTGTTTATGGTGGTCGCGCCGTCCGGCGCGGGCAAGTCGACGCTGGTCAATGTGCTGCTTGCGCGCGACCCGGTGATCCGGCTGTCGGTATCGTATACGACGCGGCCGCCGCGGCCGAACGAAACGAACGGTGTCCAATATCATTTCATTCAGGTCCCGGAGTTCCGGGAACGTCACGCGCGGGGCGAGCTCCTGGAGAGTGCCGAAGTGCACGGCAACTACTATGGGACTTCGCGCGTGTGGATCGAGGAGCAGATGAAGCGCGGCGTGGACGTGCTGCTCGAAATCGATTGGCAGGGCGCGCAACAGGTGCAAAAGCAGTTTCGCAATGCGGTCGGCATCTTCATTCTGCCGCCGTCGCTCGATGCGCTCGAAGAGCGCTTGCGCAAGCGCGGGCAAGACGAGCCGAACGTCATCGTACGTCGACTGCTGGCCGCCGGCAGCGAGATCTCGCATGCGCCGGAATTCGAGTACGTACTGATCAACGAGAACTTCGATCGTGCGTTGACTGAAATGCAGACGGTGGTCGCCGCAACGCGATTGCGTTTCGCGTCGCAGCGCGCACGTCACGAGCAGCTGTTCACGGAGCTGGGCATCCACTCGCCGCAGGCGGACTGATCGCGCGGTGAGTTAAAATAGACTTATAGCAACAAGGAATTCCAATATGGCTCGCATTACCGTCGAAGACTGCCTGGAACTTATCCCGAACCGCTTCGAGCTCGCGCTCGCGGCGACGTATCGTGCGCGCCAGCTTGCGCAGGGCCACACACCGAAGATCGAAAGCAAGGACAAGCCGACGGTACTCGCGCTACGTGAGATTGCTGAGGGGAAAGTCGGGATCGAGATGTTGAAGAAAGTGCCGCTCTGACCGGTACGTCAACCCTGTGACGGCATGACGCAACAGCCTGGGAGGCGCATATGAGCTCGAATTCATCGCACGCCTCCACTATGTCGTGCGCATCGCGCGGGGCTGACTACTCTGCGTCGAGACGCACCCAGGCAGGCGCGAAGCGCCCGGCGTCGGCGGGCGCCGCAACTGCCGACGCCGCGGGTGTGGCGACCGAGACATCGCCCGCGCGCGCCTACATCGATGCGGTGCTCGAACAGTCGTTCCGCCACCTGTTCGGACCGACCGCGACGCCGGAGCAGCCGCGCAAGCACGAAGTCGTATCGATCGCCAAGCTAACCGAAGCGCTTAGCATCTACATGATGCCCGCCGAGATCAAGGAGATCAAGGCCGCGTTCCACTTCAGCGACCAGGCCCATCTGGGCCAGTATCGACAAAGCGGCGAGCCGTACATTACGCACCCGGTGGCAGTAGCCGAGATCTGCGCCAGCTGGAAGCTGGATGCGCAGTCGATCATGGCGGCGCTGTTGCACGATGTGATGGAGGACCAGGGCATCACGAAAACCGAGCTGGCTGAGCGCTTCGGTACGAAAGTGGCCGATCTGGTCGATGGGTTGTCCAAGTTGGACAAGATGGAGTTTCGCAGCCGCGAGGAAGCGCAGGCGGAGAATTTCCGCAAAATGCTGCTTGCGATGGCGCGGGACGTGCGCGTCATCCTGATCAAGCTGGCCGATCGCCGGCACAACATGCGCACGCTCGGCGCGGTGCCGGCGGAGAAGCGCCGGCGCGTCGCACGCGAGACGATTGACATCTACGCGCCGATTGCGCACCGGCTGGGGCTCAACAACACTTATCGTGAGCTGCAGGAGTTGAGCTTCGCGAACTTCAATCCGCGCCGGTACGCGACGCTCGAAAAGGCCGTCAAGGCGGCTCGCGGTAACCGCCGGGAGGTGGTCGGCAAGATCCTGGAGGCGGTACAACGCTCGCTCGCCGATGCGAAGATCGATGCCGAGGTGACCGGCCGTGAAAAGACGATCTACAGCATCTATCGGAAGATGCGCGACAAGCAGTTGTCGTTCTCGCAGGTGCTCGACGTGTACGGCTTTCGCGTCGTCGTCCAGACGCCGATGGAATGCTATATGACGGTTGGCGTGCTGCATTCGTTGTACAAGCCGGTGCCCGGCAAGTTCAAGGACTACATCGCAATCCCGAAGGTCAACGGATATCAGTCGCTGCACACGACGCTTGTCGGACCGTTCGGCACGCCGATCGAGTTCCAGATTCGCACGCTGAAGATGCATGAGATCGCGGAGGCGGGCGTTGCCTCGCACTGGATGTACAAGAACGGCAGTGCGGACCTGAACGACGTGCAAAATCGCGCGCACCAGTGGCTCAAGTCGCTGCTCGACATCCAGAGTGAGGCCGGCGATTCGAGCGAGTTTCTCGAACACGTGAAGATCGACCTGTTTCCCGACGCTGTTTACGTGTTCACGCCGAAATCGAAGATCATGGCACTGTCGCGCGGCGCGACGGCGCTGGACTTTGCCTACTCGGTGCATAGCGACCTTGGGAACCAGTGCGTTGCCGTCAAGATCAACAACGAGCTGCTGCCGCTGCGCACCGAGCTCAAGAGCGGTGACATCGTCGAGGTCATCACGGCGCCGTACTCGAAGCCGAATCCTGCCTGGCTCGGCTTTGTCCGCACCGGCAAGGCGCGTTCTGCGATCAGGCACTATTTAAAGACGATGCGCCTGAACGAGTCGGTGCAGCTCGGTGAGCGGCTCGTTGAGCAGGCGCTGAAGGCATATGGGTTGTCACTTGCCGAGGTGACGCCGGAGATCTGGGACAAGATCGCGCACTCCACCGGCAACAAGCTGCAGCAAGAGGTATTCGCTGATATCGGGCTTGGGCGTCGGGTCGCGGCGGTGTTCGCCAAGCGGATCGAGTTGCTGCTCAGCGGCCGTGAAGGCGATTCGGACGAAAGCTCACGCTCCGAGGCTCCCCCTCACGTGAGCGGAGGGCCGCCCGTGCTCATTACCGGCACCGAGGGCATGGCGGTGCAGCTCTCGCCATGCTGCCGGCCGATTCCGGGCGACGACATCATGGGCTACATCGGGATGGGCCTTGGCATGTCGATCCATACGACCGATTGCCGTGTCGCGCAGCGCATTCATCGGCGTGACCCGGGACGCTGGATCGATGTCGCATGGGTGCCGCAGCCGGGGCGTCTGTTCGACGTGGCGATCAAGGTACTGGTGAAGAACACGCGTGGGGTCTTTGCGCGCGTTGCCGCCGATATCACGGCCGCCGATGCGAACATCGTGCACGTGGCGATGGACGAGGATCTCGCGCAGGAATCGATGGCGCTGCGCTTCCTGATCCAGGTCAGCGACCGCGTGCATCTGGCGAACGTGATCCGGCGCACTCGAACGAACCCGGATGTGATCCGGATTGCCCGCGGGCGAGCCTCCGACGACGGCCACCATCGACGTGATGGCGGAATGCGCATCGAGCGTGATCGCGGCGATTATTGATGGTCACAGCTCACGGCAGCCGAGGGCCCGGTGCTTTCCGGCTGACTTCGTAGGACGAGCGTTATCTTCACCACAGTACACGTTTCGGATCGTGTACCGCTCAGTCCATCGATACAAAGAAAAAGGGCCTTCTGACTAGAAGGCCCTTTCTTGAAGAAGTGGCGCGGCTGGCAGGATTTGAACCCACGACCCCTTGGTTCGTAGCCAAGTACTCTATCCAACTGAGCTACAGCCGCGCGAAGAGGTGAAATTATAACAAGTTCTTCGACGATGTGAAGCCCCTGGCGCGATTTTTTTGAGCGAAGGGCGTCGGCTTGTCACCTCGCCGCCGGCATCGGATGTCGACGCGTTCGTATAATGTGAATCAGGACAACGACTTCGCTTCATACAGGCTCGCACCATGAACAAGGCATTCGTCAAGGAAAGCGATGATTCGGCGCAGGACGACGACCTGCCGCAACCGGAGATGCCCGCCGGCGCGAAAAACTACATGACGCCCGAAGGCTACTGCCGCTTGAGGGATGCGTTGCTGCATTGCATCGACGTCGAAAGGCCGGAAGTCGTGCGTACCGTGTCTTGGGCGGCGTCCAATGGCGACCGGTCTGAAAACGGCGATTACATTTATGGCAAGCGGCGTCTGCGCGAAATCGACCGGCGGATCCGTTTTTTGACGAAACGTCTCGATTTGGCGGAAGTTGTCGACAGCAGCCGGCAGGAAAACACCGACCAGGTATTCTTTGGTGCGACGATCGACTATGCGACGTCCGATGGAGCCGAGCACCGAATTACCATCGTGGGTGTTGATGAGGTCGATCTCGATCAGGGTCGGGTCAGCTGGATCTCACCCATTGCCCGAGCACTGCTCAAGGCGTGCATCGGCGACACCGTGCCGCTGCGCACTCCGGGTGGCATGGAGCAAATCGATATCCTCGACGTGCGGTATCCGGCCGGTGCGCATTAACGTAGCGCAACGTCCCGCCCGATAAGCATAGCGGCCGCGCGTCACAGGCGCTGCGCGATGAACGTTGGGTGCTGTCCCCGGCAAGCGTCAATAAAAAAGGCGCCAGAAGGCGCCTTTGCCGATACAGGACTGACGCCCTGCCCGTATTAGAAGCGGTGGCGCAGGCCAGCAGTCACAGCCACTTGCTTGTCGGACGACGCTTCAGCCAGACCATTGATGCTCGCATTGAGGCCGGTTTTGCCTCCAGCAAGCTTTTGGTATTCACCTTGCAGGTATACATCGGTACGCTTGGACAGCGCATACGCGGTTTGCAGGTTGAATTGATGCCACTTCGGCGATTCGCCGAAGAACTTGCCGTCGGTGTACGTGTACGCACCCGCGACGCTCAATGCCGACGTCAGGTTATAGCGGCCATTCACTTCATAGTTGTTGAAGCGCACATCGCCGCTTTCATCAGGCCGGTTAAACGAACCTTGCGAATTCTCAAGACCGAATACGTTGCTCATTTTCGTTTGCGTAAACACGAAGCCCGCGGTTGCCGGACCAAACGCATAGTTCAAGCCCGCACCCCACGTCCGCTGGCGGCCGGCGGCGAACATTGTGTCATCCGACACTGCGCCGAGCCCGTTCGACAGCTCCGTCACGCCGGCCGCAGGCGTGCTGTTGTTCAACTGCAGATACGCGGCAGCCACGTTCAACGGACCGTAGTTATACGACGCGCCGACGCTATATGCACGGTTGTTCGAGAAGTTGCCCGCTTGGTTCGAGAAGCCATACAACGCGCCGAACGTGAAGCCCGCGAAGTTCGGGCTTTGGTACTTGACGGAGTTGTTGACGCGGAACGAGTTGTCGAGGTTGTCGTTGTCGAACGGGTGGGCAAATTGCGTGCCGCCGTACTGCGTGCCGGTCAGCGCCAGCGGACCGAGGTAGTCGACCACGGAATCATATTGGCGACCGAGCGTCACGGCACCGTATTGGTCCGACGCGAGTCCGACAAACGCCTGGCGACCGAACAGGCGGTTACCTTGACCCTGCGAGCCGTTTCCGATGCTGAAGCCGTTTTCCAACGTGAAGATCGCCTTCAGGCCACCGCCCAGGTCTTCAGCGCCACGCAGGCCCCAACGGCTGCCGTTCACCGAGCCGCTGGTTTCTTGCCAGTTCGAGTGACCGTCTTGGTTGTTCGTGTACGTGATGCCCGCGTCGATCAAGCCGTACAGCGTCACGCTGCTCTGCGCGTGGGCTGCCGTCGCGAACATGCCCGACAGGGCTGCAACCATGAGAGTCTTTTTCATCTTTGTGAACTCCAAATACATATGGGAACTTTACCCAAGCTTTGAGGAAACGAAGCTGCCTGTGTAGGTGGCCGCTTGTATTTCAGTGGCGCGACATTAAAACTGTTAGCCAGATGACGCACCTGTTTCCAGGAAAGGCAGAGTGTAAAGACGAGTCCGGGATGCGAAAATTCCTAATTACACAACAATATATTTATTATATTGCAATAATTGTCGAGCGCCTGTAGAGCCTTGTGTAGCAAGGGTTTGGCGCGATTTGAGTCGATCCTGGGGAGCGAGAGCGGGCCATCGACGTTGTGTTTGTACGACAGAAAAATGAAGGGAGCCCATTCGCATCCGGGTAGCCATTAGCGGCGCTGACAACAGGCTTTGCCAGTGATCGCCGTGCCAGATCCTATCGAGGCGTGGTGGGCTCGGCCTGTCCGACGGGGTTGCCGGCAACGGGCCGTCCCCTTCCGCGGCGCCGCGGGAGCCATGCCGCAGCCAGCCGAGAAGGTGCTTGAGTGGCATCAGCATCGAATTGCCTTCCTTGCTACATCGAATCGTTCATGTAAATAGTTAAACGAAACGCACCGCAATAGAATCGACGTAAATACTTACAATTTTTTTCACTCGCACGGTAAAAATTTCTTGTATTTAGTAAATTAATCTCGAGATTCCAGTAAAAACGACTCATACCATTCAGGTGAGATAGCCTGAATTACGCTGTCTCAGGGCCGCCAGGCCAGCTGATGCGGCCTGCCGCGCGGGCGTTTCAGGGGGATTCGAAAAGCTGAAAGCGAGCACTGCGCGACATATTTTTCGCTTGACGTACAGATCTGTTTCTATTTATAACTACACCGCTGGATTTTCAGGACGCGAGGCTGCCGCATAACGTGGTGAATCCTTGTTTCGTGATTTTCTACAGATGGACTTGAGGTTTGTTACGTCAATACTTGAGAGGAAGCAAGATTTATGGAAACCGGTATCGTCAAATGGTTTAACGATGCTAAGGGCTATGGCTTTATCACTGCGGATTCGGGCGGTGAGGATCTGTTCGCGCACTTTTCGGAAATCCACGCGGACGGGTTCAAGTCGCTGAAGGAAAGCCAGCGCGTATCATTCGAAGTGAAGATGGGCCCGAAGGGCAAGCAAGCGGCGAACATCCGGCCGCTGTGACGCTACGCCCGTTTCGGGAATCCATGCTGCCGGCGTGCGCCGGCGGATGCCCAAGGCCCCGCTACGCGGGGCTTGTTTGACTGGATGGCTCACGGCCGCGTGGATAAGTGGGCGGAACCCCAGATTTCAGGCGACAATGTGCGGGTTTCGTCCCTTGTGCCGTTGCTGCAATCACCATGTCCGACTTCGCCGCCCTGAGAAGCGATACCCGTGCACGACCGCTTGCGTTCGTGGACCTCGAAACGACGGGGGGACGTCCAGGGATCGATCGCATAACCGAGATCGGTGTGATCGAAGTCGATGCTGACGGTGTCCGGCACTGGAGCACGCTGATCGATCCGCTGCAGCCGATTCCGGAATTCGTCCAGCAGCTGACCGGCATTACCGACGCGATGGTCCGCAGCGCGCCGACGTTCGATGCGATAGCTGCAGGCTTGGCGCGTCGCTTGGATGGCAAGCTCTTCATCGCGCACAATGCGAGATTCGATCATAGTTTCTTGAAGCGCGAGTTCGCTCGGATTGGAATGCGCTTTGATCCGCACGTGCTGTGCACGGTGCGGCTTTCTCGCGCGCTGTTTCCGCGTGAAACGCGGCACGGGCTCGACGCGGTCGCGCAGCGGCTGCAATTGACCTCGTTCAGCCGGCATCGTGCGCTTGCCGATGCCGATCTGGTGTGGCAGTTCTGGCAGCGCATTCATGCGTTGCATCCGCGCACGGCGATCGACGCGGCGTTGGGGCGTCTGGTCCGCGCGGGTGGCATTGATGCAATGACCGAAGCGTTGCCCGCCGGCTCGGGCGTCTATGCGTTTTTCGACGTCAATGGCCTACCTTTGTACGTCGGCAAGAGCGCGAAGCTGCGGCAGCGCGTGCGGGCGCAATTGTTTGGCGAGCGTCGCTCGAGCCGCGACGCGCAGCTTGCCGAGCATGTGCATGAGGTGCGCGTCTATCCCGTGGCGGGCGAAGTCGGGCTGCTGCTTGCCGATGCGCATTGGAGCGCGATGCTGCGCCCGCGTCTTGGGCGTCGCGCTGCACCGCGGCATGTGCGTGGCGCCATGCATTGGCCTTATGAGGGTCCTGTCGCGCTGGTCGAGCGGGCAGGCCACGATCGTTCCTATGGCTATCACTTGCTCGACGCGTGGCAATATCTCGGCTCCGCAATCGATCTGGACGGCGCTCGCACATTGCTCGACGCACATCGGCAGGCTTTGGCGTCACGTTGTGCGTCGGAGCATGCGGCGTGCGATGTCGCGGGATCCGAGCATGCCGCAATGGTGCAGCCCGGGTCACTGGGCGTGGTGGCGCCCAGCTTCAATGCCGCAGTCTTTCGGATTCTCTCACAGCGGTTTGCGCGAGGCGGGCTGGTCATCGAGCGGCTCGTGGGCGGTGCGTTCGCAGCGAGGCCGCATGGCGGCCTCGCACAGCCATGAGCTCAACCCACTGCGCCGCCGCCCGTGGATCCGCCGCGGCACGGCGAACGCCAAGGTGCGCATTGCGCTATCACTGTGTGTTGCGGGACTTGCGTTGTTCGTCAAAGAATGCACGGACATGCTCAGGCAGATCCGCGAGAAACTCGACGCCCACCGGTTCCGGGTCTGGGCTGACGATCTTGTCTGGAGGCGGAATCTTGGTGGGTTTGGCTTCCATAGTGACTCTCCTATTGTGAATCGATTATCCGCCTCTGGCTCCATCGGTTGCTAGTGCCATGTCGCTGCGGCGCGTTTTTCTTTCGCTCTCTGTTGCTATAACGGCACAGCGGCCGGATAGCAATCCATGTGCGCGGAAAATATCCGCGCACATTGCATCAGCCGGGGAAACAGTGCGGCAATGCAGCGCGCTTCGTTTGGCCAATAATCGATTGTCCGATTTTTATCGGCCGGCCACTGGACGCTAGCGTACCGAAGTGTTCGTTGGCGCTGGCATGCTGCGTTTGGCTGACATCGACTGGAGTGCGGGACGTAGGGCGATGCCGGACGGAATGCGCGCCGGGATGATGCGCGCAGCGCTAAAAGGAGAGTGAGAAACCGGGAGTGCAGGACGAAAAAGCCCGCAAAACCTGGGTTTTGCGGGCTGAATCCGTGGTGCCGGAGAGAAGACTCGAACTTCCGACCTTCGCATTACGAATGCGCTGCTCTACCATCTGAGCTACACCGGCAACAGACCAAGGATTATAAGAGGGGACGCCGGAAATTGGCAACCCCTCGCGCGTTCAAAAAGCGGGTCAGCCCTCGAGATGGTACCGCGTTACGCGGTCCACCTCGTTCTTCGAGCCGAGGAATACCGCGACGCGCTCATGCAGGCTTTTGGGCTGGATGTCCAGGATCCGCTTTTCGCCGGTGGTTGCCGCGCCCCCCGCCTGCTCGACGATGAATGCTATCGGATTGGCTTCATACATGAGGCGCAGCTTGCCGGGCTTGTCCGGCGCGCGCTTGTCCGCTGGGTACATGAAAATACCGCCCCGATGCAGGATGCGGTTCACGTCCGAGACCATCGACGCAATCCAGCGCATGTTGAAGTCGGTCTTGCGCGGCCCCTCTGCGCCTTGCGTCAGCTCACCGATATAGCGCTGCACCGGCGCGTACCAGTGGCGCTGGTTCGACGCATTGATCGCGTACTCGCGCGTGTCGACCGGGATGCGCAGGTCTCGATGGGTCAGCGCCCACGAGCCGAGCTCACGATCGAGCGTGAAGCAATTAACGCCGTGGCCGGTCGTCAGCACGAGCACCGTTTGCGGGCCATATACTGCATAGCCGGCCGCGACCTGGTGCGAGCCCTTTTGCAGGAACGATTGTTCGGTCGGGTTGGTGCCGTCGGGGCAGCGTAAGACCGAAAAAATTGTACCGATCGATACGTTCACGTCGATATTGGACGAGCCGTCGAGGGGATCGAACAGCAGCAGGTACTCGCCTTTCGGGAAAAACGTCGGGATCGGATGGATGCTCTCCATTTCCTCTGAGGCCATCGCCGCGAGGTTGCCACCCCATTCGTTGGCTTCGAGCAGAATCTCGTTGGACAGCACGTCAAGCTTTTTTTGTACTTCGCCCTGCACGTTCTCGCTGCCTGCGCTGCCAAGCGCGTCACCGAGCGCGCCTTTGCTGACGTGATAGCTGATGAGCTTGCACGCACGTGAGACGACCTCGATCAGCAACCGCAGGTCGGCGGGAATGTTGTTGTGCTCGCGCTGTTGTTCGATCAGATACCGAGTGAGAGTCGTGCGGCGTGATGTGTGCCGGGTCGCTTCCATGATGAGCTCCGAAAAACGCTGTTCGAGAGGCGCGATCGCTGTCTTGCTGATACCGTCGCCGGCACTGCGTCGCGATTCGCATGGTCGCAATTCTACAGGGGCCGTGCGCCGCATTGAAGCGTGAGCCATGGCGGTGAGGCGCGCCGCACGGTGCCGCGCGTCGTCCGGCCGCCTTACGAGGCTATCCGAGCGCCTTGTCGACGATTTCGCGCACGTCTTTCGAGCTCACCTTGGCTGCGACTTTTTCCAGTGCCGCACGCATCGGCTCGCGCAACGCCGGCACGAACTTGCGCCAGCGCTCCAGCGAGCGGGCCAGGCGGGCGGCGACCTGCGGATTCAGCGTGTCCAGCGCGATCACCTGCTCGGCCCAGAACGCGTAGCCGGAGCCGTCCGGCAGGTGGAACTGGTCCGGATTGGTGGCACAGAAGCTGAAGATCAGCGCGCGCGCACGATTCGGGTTCTTCAGGTTGAACGCCGGGTGCCGCATCAGCTCGCGCACCGTGTCGATGGCGTGGCGGCCCGCACTGCCTCGTTGCTGCGCCTGCAGCGCAAACCATTTGTCGATGACCAGCGCGTCGTTCTCGTGGCGGCGGTAGAATGCGTCGAGCGCCGCCCGCGCGGCCTCGTCCGCCTGCCTCGGAGCCGACGCGCGCAGTGTGATCAGTGCCGCCAGCGCGGCTGCCCGGTCGGTCATGTTGTTCGCGTCGTCGAACTGCGCGCGGGCGAGCCGCAGCGCGTCGCAGGGGGCGTCGAGTTCCGCGAGGTAGTGCAGCGCCAGGTTCTTCAGCGCGCGCTTGCCGGCATCGGCCGGGTTCGGAGTGTACTCGCCAGGTGTGGGGTGTGCGTCGTATGCGGCGAGCCAGTCATCGCGGAGCGCGGCGGCCAGCGTGCGGCGCACGAACTGCCGCGCCTGGTGGAGCGCAGCCGGATCTGCCTCATCCATTTGCTCGGCCAGATAGGTTTCGGATGGCAACGTTAGTGCCTGCTCGAGAAACGCTGGCGACAGCGAGCCGTCGCGCAGCACGGCACCGAAGGCGGCGACGAACGCATCGGGCAGCTCGAGCGGCACGTGTTGCTGTACGTTCGTCGCCAGCGACAGCAACGCGCGTGTCGCCAAGCGCTGTCCTGCCTCCCAGCGGTTGAACGGATCGCTGTCATGCGCGAGCAGGAACGCGAGTTCGTCATCCGTGTAGTCGTACTCGACAATTACCGGTGCCGAGAAATTGCGCAACAGCGACGGCAGCGGTTTCTCGGCTACGTCGACAAACGTGAACGTCTGTTCCGTGCCGGTGAGCTCGAGCACGCGCGTCGTCGCAGCGGCTGCGTCGCATGGCTCGTCTCGCAGCCGCAGCGGCATGTCGCGCCCGTGCGCATCGACCAGGCCGAGCGCGAACGGGATCTGCAGCGGTCCCTTTTGCGTTTGCGCGGCGTCCGGTGACGATTCGCCGTAGCGCTGCGCCAGCGTGAGCGTATAGGTGCGGGCCGTCGGATCGTACGCGGCGCGCACCGCCACGCGCGGCGTGCCGGCCTGACTGTACCAGCGCTCGAACTGTGCGAGGTCCCGGTGGTTTGCGTCGGCCATCGCGGCGCGGAAGTCGTCGCAGGTTACCGCCTGGCCGTCGTGCCGCTGGAAATACAGGTCCATGCCATGGCGAAAACCGTCGCGGCCGAACAGCGTCTGGTACATCCGCACGAGCTCCGCGCCTTTCTCGTAGACGGTGACCGTGTAGAAATTATTGACCTCGACGTAGCTTTCCGGTCGCACCGGATGCGCCATCGGGCCGGCATCCTCGGCAAACTGCATTTGACGCAGTACCCGCACGTCGTCGATGCGCTTGACCGCCGCGGCCGCCGGATCGGTCGCGCCGCCGGCCATGTCGGCCGAGAACGCTTGATCGCGGAACACGGTCAACCCTTCCTTGAGACTCAACTGGAACCAGTCGCGGCAGGTCACGCGGTTGCCGGTCCAGTTGTGAAAGTACTCGTGCCCGACCACTGCCTCGATGTTTGCGAAATCGATGTCGGTCGCGCTCTGCGCATTGGCGAGTACGTACTTCGTATTGAAAATGTTGAGCCCCTTGTTCTCCATCGCCCCCATGTTGAAGTCGCCCACTGCGACGATCATGAAGCGCTCCAGGTCCAGCTCTAGGCCGAAGCGCTGCTCGTCCCAGCGGATCGCGCGGATCAGCGAATCCAGCGCGTGGCCCGTCTTGTCCAGATCATGCGGCTCGACCCACACTTGGAGTAGCTTTTCGCTGCCCGAGCGCGTCGTGATCGTCTGCTCACGCGCGACCAGCTTGCCGGCGACCAGTGCGAATAGGTAACTGGGCTTGCGGAACGGATCTTCCCATTTTGCATAGTGGCGGCCGTCCGGTAGCGCGCCGCTGTCGACCAGGTTCCCGTTGGACAGCAGCACCGGGTAAGCAGCCCGGTCCGCACGCAGCGTGACGCGGTAGGCCGCCATCACGTCAGGCCGGTCCAGGAAATAGGTGATGCGCCGAAAACCCTCGGCCTCGCATTGAGTGAAAAAGTTGCCGTTGGACACGTAAAGGCCCGATAGCGTCGTGTTGTCGGCAGGCCGGCATGCGTTCTCGATCGTGAGCTCGAACGTCTCTGGCACGTTCGACACGACGAGCCCGTCGTCGCGCACCCGCACCGCATCATGGGGTTGCCCGTCGATGGACAGCGACAGCAGCTCCAATGCATCGCCGGCCAGCTCTAGGTCGGCGGCGTGCGGCGCATCGGGATTGCGCCGTACGCGCAACGTACTGCGCACGCGTGTGCGTTGCGCGGCGAGGTCGAATTCGAGCTCCACGGTGTCAATCAGGAACGCGGGCGGGGTGTAATCCACGCGGCGGATCACGGGGGCTTCGGCTGGCTTGGACATAGCGTATCCGTGGAAAAGTGGTTCAATGGCGATTGGATCGCGGTTCGCGGCGCCGCTCGCATCGCGTCGCAGGGAAAGAATGGCCCGATCCGCTGTCTGATGCTCCGTATGGCTGCGCCGCGGCCGTGCATCATGTTGATCTGCCAATTGTACAAAATAGATAATGCATCTGTGCCGCGGGCGGCTTGCCGGAGCGGCCAGACCGGAATCAAAGGACAACCATGATGTTTAGACGTTTCTCGCAGTGCACGGCGCGTTGCCCTATATGGGCTGCGGGTTGGCTTGCGATGCTGGTGCTGTCGGGGTGCGCGAGCTACGTGACTTCGGACGTGATCGCGTTCAACGCGTGGAGCATGACCGATTCGGATCGAGACCGGACTTTTGCGTTCAAGCGCGACGCGCAGCAGCGCAACAGCATAGAGCAGAGCACGTATGAGGCGCAGGTCGCCGACGATCTGTCGCACTACAATTTCCGGCAAGTCGTGTCGGCGAGCGCGCGCTACTCCGTCGAACTGGCCTATGGCACACGCAACGGCAGCGTTATCGTTCAGCAACCGGTCTATGCCGAGCTGTGGTGGCCCGCGTGGGGACGGCCCGGGCCATGGGGTCCGTGGGGGCCGTTCGGCATGGCGCCGATGTACGTCGATACGGCATTGCCCGTGTTCGTGCAGAGCCTGACGATCCGCATGACCGAGCGCGCAAGCGGCAAGGAGGTGTACAAGGTCAGTGCGACGACGCCCACTGCGCGCCAGTCGTTGCCGCTTGCGATGCCGTATCTGATACGCAGCGCACTTGCCGACTTCCCGTTGCAGAACGGTACGACGCAGCAGGTACGGTTGCCCGCCGAGTCGCGTGGATTGGCAGGGGGCGGCACGGCCCCCGTATCGAGCGAGAAAGTGGTACCTGACGCGCCGCCAGGCACCGCGCGCTGAGCGCGAGCGGCGTATCGGCGCGTGTGCGGGTCCATCCGGGCCCGTCCGCGCTCATCCGCCGTGGGTGCCGACGCCGCAGGCGGCGAGCACGC